TCCTACTCGACGGCACATAACAACAGGGTCACCTAAAGAGGTTGTACAAAACGCATATGTCCTGACTCTACCTCAAGACATCAAGGCCTGTGGACCAAGCAATCTATATTTCAGTATATCCTCTACCCCTACCCTATACACACTTAATCAAGGTGCAGAAGGTCAAGTGCTACAGACTCTTCAGAACTCTCCCATCATGGTGTGCACTGCTGTGTCCAGAGAATGAATGAATTCTGGATAAAGGGTTGGTCCCCTTGATGTCTCAAAGACCGCTTTATAAATAACAGCCTGCACTGGTAATGGCTTGGATAGAGTCAGACAGACAACAGGAATGACTACACTGGCTGTGCCTCTGCCCTTTCTTGTCACAGAGACCCTATGCATTTTCCGGTCAGGCAGCAATCAACAAAACTGGCAGCAAGATAAAGACTCACCACCAGCAGCTTCAGGAGAGTGCTCTCTAGGACCAAATGCCTGGAGAAGAACCTGTATAAACGTGCTTAGTGTATCGTGCAAGGCCTTAGGAAAGGCCCCTTTCCCATGGATGCCTAAAAGTCCACCTTTAGCAGTTAAGTGGCCAGCACTGGACAGAACCTGAGGTCATCTGCCACAGGTCCCTTTTCCACAGTAGAAGTGGATCTAGCTGAGAAGTATTTGTTGTTGTTACCTGTCCCCAACTCATGGTGACCCCATGTACAATGATGTCTGACCACTGTGCTCCACAGGGTTTTCATTGGCTGATTTTTCAGAAATAGGTATCTAGGCCTTTCTTCCTAGTCCATCTTAGTCTACCAGCTCTGCTGAAACCTGTTCAGCATTATAGCAATATGCAAGCCTCCACTGACAGATGGGGGTGGCTGGGTGGATGTGCACAAGGTGCATTAGCCAGAAATGGAACATGGATCTCCTGCATGGAAGGTGAGAATTCTACCAGTGAACCATCGCTCCTCCCTAAAACCAGTTACTGTCAAGTCAGTTCCTTCTGAGGCACCTCTGGGTGGGCTCGAACCACCAATCTTTTGATTAGTAGCTAAGTGTGTTAACTATTTACACCGCCCAGAGACTCCAACGTAAGAAAGTAGATTGCCCCATCTTCCTTCCGAGAAGTGTGTGGTGGGTTTGAACCTCCAGTCTTCCGGTTAGCAGTCACATGCCTTAGGCACTATGTCACCAGAACTCCCAAGAGGTATTCAGAGAAGAGAAAATGGGAATGAGAGAGAGGGGGCCCTGGACCACTCCTAGGTTTCCTCTGCCTAACCACCCCTATCATTGAAAACTCACACCCATTCACCTTTTAAAATGTCTCCAGGTGAACACAGTCTTCTCCATTTAGGTCTTCATCACCTTAGGCCTAAATTCCTGCCTTAGCAACTTTCTCCTACAAATCTCATATATGTCACTATACACTCCCTATACACTTACATTCAAACCATTATCCCATATTTTTGTGCATGTACTCTTGACTTCAGGAATCCCTGGATGGTGCAAATGGTTAAACCCTCAACTATTAGCTGAATGGTTGGTTGTTCGAACTCAGAGTGCGCTGGAAGATAGGCTGGTCAATTTACTTCTGAAAGGTAATAGCCTTCAAACTCTATGGAGCAGCTCTGCTCTGTACATCTGGAGTTGACATCGGTCAGAACTGACTCACAAGCACCTAACAACAACAACTTCTGACTGAAAAGTCCCTGGGTGGTGCAAACAGTTAACACTTGGCTGCTTACTGAAAGATTGGTGGTTCAAGTCCATCTAGAATCAGGTAGGAAAAAAGGCCTGGCAATCTACTTGCAAAAAAATCAGCCACTAAAAACCTTATGGAGCCCGGTTCTACTTTTACATACACGGGGACACCATGAGTTGGGTTATATGCAATCAAGCTAGTCTCTCTAGGTGCCCTTCTATGGGATGGGGTCTTCCCTGATAATTATGCCTGTAGTTTAACACAGAAGGAAGGATTGCTACCTTTCACAGGCATTTCTCTCCCCATACAGATGGAAACAAGCTCCCTCAGTCAGTCAGGGCCTGGGCTGTTCTACTTCTTTTGCCACAGGGAGCAATAAGCCTTTGGGATTATTTTCCAGAGCTCTTGACAATTCAGCCAGACAATGAGATGCCAATGACAGAGTAAACATGGTTGAAATGCTTGAAGCTAGGTAATTTTCAATTACCATCTTCCCTACCTCACAAATACATGTTTTCTTAAAGCTTTCTACAGGGTAAAATGGAAAATGTATTATTAGCATCTTTTCAGGTTTACATTGTTCATCTCACATTCTTTCCTTTGCACTATGCATTATTCTCTTGACAGACCTGATGTAAAGCTCTGTGGGAGAATATCATAGGAAGTCCTAACACTTTAGCCTGAGTCAATTCTTGGATTCTCAAAGGTCAGAGTTAACAGAAGCCTGGAACATAGATGGTGAATGGGAAAGAGAGAACTATTTATAAGACAAGATATCCAACCTATTTTATGGTGGGGACTTGGAGGAAAGGGCATTGGACATGGAGCATTGGAAAAGAATGGGATAATCTCCAAATTAACAACAGATGGGAATAAAGATGAAAAGAGATCGAGAGGCTCCACATACATTTTATAATAGACAAAAGCAGGTGCCAGAACTATATGATCCCATTTGCACAAAGCAATTACACAGACACATACACAAAAGACTGGCAGAAAAATTCCCAAATTATCTCTTGGTGGGGAGATTTCAAATTGATTTTCCTATTGTTTGTCCTGGTTTTCTATTTTGTTCCACAATGAACATATGTTACATTTGCAATAAACTCAGTTACATACATGGATACATACATATGTGCACACACAAACAGAAAGGATCCTACAAATAGGCTCATCCCTAGAGACCCCAGCATGTCCCCTACATCAAGGGTACCAAGTTACTCTTGGGAAACCTGGTAGCCAGTAAAGATTAAGCAGGTGTCATTTTGAGGGGCAGGTCCTTTCTCACAGCAACTCTGGGCCAAAAGCATGGATTAAACAAATGGAGGCTAGAAGAGGCAGAGTCTCTGGTGGTGCAAACAGTTAATGAATTCAGTTGCTAACTAAAAAGTTGTCAATTTGTATCCACCCAGAGGTGCCTCAGAAGAAAGTCCTGCTCTACTTCCAAAAAATCAGCCATTATAGTGTTTGCACAGGGAGACAGTTTGGGGGCAGGAGTGCACAGAAGCGAATGACACAGGAAAGGGGTAACTATGGGCAGGAAGTGGGAAGAGAGCTGTTACATTGTGGGGAATTGCAGTCAATGTCATGACACAGAATGTGTACGAATTACTGTCTGGAAGATGAATACTCTGTAAACCTTCACCCACATCACAATAAAAATTAAAAAAAAAAAAAAAAATCAGCCATTGAAAACCCTAAGGAGTACAGTTCTACACTGCCACACATGAGATCACCATGAGTTGGAATGGACTCCATGGCAACTGGTTAAAGAGACTGAGATTGCCAAGTTCACATAGCTGTTTCCTAAGTACTTTCTAAAATCAATGCAGGGAGAATTGAGCCCCAAAGCTTGTAATTTCAGACTGGGTGTTATTTTCCGTCTGTGAAAGGGCATTACAAAAGCCTGCACACTGGATGGGTTTTCATTTCACAGCTTCGTCCTTGGCATTTTTATCACTGACATGCATGCCACGGCAGGTATTACAATATCCTACAATCAACAGTCTCACCATCCAAGGGGGTCACACCTGCCCACCTCAGCCTTGGACAGCCAAGCCAGCAGGTGCACAATGGCTGCTTCTTGGCCAAAAGCAAGTTCAAGCCTTAAATACACATGGGGTTCTTAATGCCCAATGAAGCCTCTCTCCTACCTACAGCTTGAAAAACATGCAAATTAGCAGGAGGACATTGATGGGATTATATTTTGTGGTGCTCGTGGTTTTTAAAAAGGACAAAACAGAAAGACCCTGAAACTGAGGGTAAAAATAAAACCCCACAGGTAAGAACACCTCAATCCCAAAAGAGAACTATATCAAAAACTTTTTTATTGAACACATTTACCGGGGAGAAGGGAATGTGAGCTGGTTTTCTGTGAAGAGACTGACTAGATAATTCCAAAGAAATAGGTTTTGGACACCTAAACTTAAGACAAGAAGGACTGGTGGTCAAACGGTTAAGCACTAGACTGCTACCAAAAGGTTGGCAGTTTGAACCTACCCAAACGCTGTGCTCCGCGGGAGAAAGAAGTAAGGATCTGCTTCCATAAAGATTACAGCCTAGGAAATACTTAGGTAGTCTATTCTGTCACATGGGTCACTAACTCATAGCGGCCTGACTCACAGCGACCCCTCCTGGGTTTCTGAGGCGGTATCAGTACGGGAGTAGATTGCCCAACCTTCCTTCCAAGGAGTGGCTGGTGGGTTTGAACCGCCAGCTTTCTGGTTAGCAGTCAAGTGCCTTAGGCACTACGCTACCAGAGCTCCTCAACAGTCCATAACAACAACAAACCAAGACAGACAATTCACCTCCCTCTTCCATAAATCCAGGATCCTTATTTAGATCCTTGAGCTCCCGGATTCTATCTAGTTTTCGAACAAACCAACTTCCCTTGAGTTTTCAAGTTGTAGGAACTTTTGCTTCCTTAGCCTGAACACGCAATCAGATGCAACTACATTCTGAACCCAGAAAAGGCACCCTGCGCTGAACCATACTAGTCAGGCAGGGCCCGGTTCCCAGAGGTTCCCAGGAGGAGGGAGCCGCCTGGCCCCGCTGTGTTGCTCCCGCCGTACGTTGACCAGCTGTGCCAGGTGTGCCGGGTGCGCTGGGTGCGTCTGGCTGGCCGGCGGGCAAGGCGCGGGCATGGCACGCGCAGGGGCGGCCGGGCCGGTGGCGCGCCCGCCGGCCTTGTTTCCGCACGAGGTTCGCGGCGCTCGCCGGCCGCCAGTTCTCTCCGCCACCCTCCCCCAGTCACCTCCGGCGACTCAGTCACCGTTCCCCCACCCTGTCTGGGATCGACCTCTGACTGAGGCGACCTTACCGCCGGGCCCGCCAGGACCAAGAGCGCCCACAACTCCCCTCGGAAGCCGGACAGCGGCAGGCAGCCCGTCTCGCGGCGCTCGCTGCTGGCCTCTGGGCCGGGCTCCGCGGGCTCTGACTCCTCAGGGAACTCCATGCGCCCGGTGCAGGGCCGTGGGGAACTGCAGGCCCCCACGAAAAGGGCGCTGGGCCAGCCTCGTTCCAGACCCCGCCCCGGCTGCCTGCCCCGCGCCTGCCGAGTCTGAATTCAGCTTGGCTTGCCTTTTGCGCCTCTGCACTACTGTGGGCTCCAGGGGTTCCTGGCCAGGCTCCAGGCAGTTTGAAATAGCTCTAGAAACGGCGGGGGAAAGTACTGAAAAGAGCTTAGGTAGCTTGGCCCTCCGAGCTGCGGACTCCACAGCTCGCCCCAGCGAGCCTGAAACTTGTGGGGTAGAAGAACTTAGACCTCTTGAGCTTGATTCAACTGGTGGCCAGTAAGATGTCTGGCTAGGCTCACGCCACCGTTGCATGCACTTTCACGTGTGAGTGGCACCTGTTCCACAGATTTCACTCAGCAGATGTTTTTGATACCGGTTTCAATTTTTCATATTTCTTTTTGCCTACCAATGTAGAGCAGCAAATCCCTATTTTCCAAGTAGGGCCTGTTATATTCACTGGTTTTCATGGGTGTTTAATCAGCAAACAGCCTGGTGTGAAGGAACAAGAGGCTGAGAGCATCAGGCTGACTCTAGAGACACCCACCATGTTCCAACTGGGAAAGTATGGGCAACCCACTCTCTTCACATTGCTTCTCTTACCTCATCTTTAAACTTGAAATATCTACATCAGAAGTTGCTGTGATGATTAAATGAAATTATGTAGGTAGAGGGCCTGTGTCAATACCAAAGCCCTCAACCTGACACATAATAATTGCCTGACAAATGTTAGTTTTAACTAGAACAAGGGTGATTTCTGAAATAGTCAAAATTCTTTATGTACTAAGTGACTCAATTTAAGCAAAAAGGGGGGCAGGAAATCTCAGTTCACATAACCAGGTTTGATTTAGGGATTTTTTTTAAAACAAGATCATCAGCATCTCCTTTACTCCTCATCCCCACTGCCACCTAATCCTCACCCCATTCCCATTCCCATCCCCGCCTCTGCTTACAATTTTTCTCTTTCTTTGTAGGAAACTCTTATTTTCCTATTGAGGGGACTCCAACCTCCAATAACTACCATTCACATCTTTCCCACTTTATAAGCCTGAAAGTAAGCCCTTTTCTTCCAGCACCAAAGGAAAAACTGCTTAGGTTTGATCTTAGAATTCTTGACCACCTCTGGACCAATCATGGGGCCACATGTTCTGGATACCCTAGTGCCGCTCTGACAGGAAAATACCACAAATGGGATGGCTTAACAAACAGGAGTTTATTCTCTTACAGTTCAGGAGGCTAGAAGTCCAAGTTCCAAGTGCCAGGCTCTAGGGGCTGTGTGAAAGCCCCTAGACCTTGGGCTTCAGCTCTGCCTCTTGCTCCCGGCTCACTGAAGCCAGAGGCATCTCTTCACTCAGGCAGCTCCTGGCTGCTGAGGCTAACAAGCTCAAGGTTGACAAATAAACTAGCACAGTCCTGATGTTACCAAACCACACGGCAGGCCATTGATTCAAGTCCATTGTAAGTCCCAAGGTCAGCAGAGCATGGCAGGCTGCTGAACAATGACACGGCTACATACAGGGTCCAAGCATGCCATAAACTCAAGACCATTCCCCAAGGTTTCTGCTTATATACAGGAAGAAGATCACATCCCTAAGGCAGCTACTCAGCTGCTCACAGTAGATTGCACCATGGAGTTGATTACCAGTCTCATCATGGGGAATACTACATCCAGCTGTCCAGCCACTCAACCAGGCTTAGCCATGTTGACACACAAACTTAAATACCACAACAGGAAAATACAATTCTATGCTTGGCTGGCCCAGGACCTTGTACTAGAGCCCTGGTGGCACAGTGGCTGCAAGCGCTCAATTGATAACTGAAAGGTCAGTTGTTCTTAACCCCCCAGCCTCTCTGCCAGAGAAAAATGTGGCAGTTTGCTTCCATAAAGATTTTCAGCCTTGGAAACCCTTTGGGACAGTTCTAGTCTATGTTATAGGGTCACTATGAGTCAGAATCCACTCTCTGGCAGTGAGTTTGGTTTGGCTTTGGACCATGCACTCAGTCCTATAGTCAGAGGGGTTGGGTACTATCTATGACTGGTAGTGGTCCCATAAGAATTGTTACATGTCTGGAATGGAGAAGACATTTCCCTCAAGGAAATGAGGGCTTCCATAGACAAAAATTCCAGTATATACCTATACCTTTGATCATTGCTATTCTTCAGTAGCCTTCTAGAAATTCTGGCTAATGCAATAAGACATGAAACAGAAATGTATAAACACAGGAAAAGAAAAGGCAAAAGCGTTATTTGCAGTTATAATTCCAGACAATCCAAAGACTTCAAATGAAAGAAAAAAAAAAAACCTAAAACCTAAAAATAAACTTTTAAACATTAATTTTTTAAAAATTAAATTAATATTTTAATTAAAAAATTTTTACAAGGATCTGGCAAGATGGCAGACTAGGCAGAAGGACTGCACAGACCCTCTTCAACAAAGAAAAGGGAAAACAATTAACACAGACACAGAAGATAATCTTGAACCCCTGACCCTTGAAGGGAAGGATATAAAAGTGGACTAAACCCCAACTAGCAGAAGAAGTTGCGTGAAAATACCAAAAAAGGAGACACACAGAGCTGAGGTCTGGCAGCGACCTGAGCAACCCTGACAGCACAGACGGCACAGATGGCTTGGAGATTCCCAAGTGGTGGTAGGACCTAAGAATTAACGTAAAAATCACCCTGCTAGCCAGGGACTGCACGGAGGACTGTGCACGTGGCTGGGGAACAAATGGAGAAGGTAAAGAAAAAGGTGGGCACTGCCTCGGAAACCCAAGGAGGGGTCACTATGAGTCGGGGTCGACTCGACGGCAAATAACAATAAAAGCTGTGGACTTTTGCCGGTCCGGAGGACACCGCCATTTTGAAGGTTTAAAAAGCGGCTTGACTAATTTGGATATTCAAAGAGACAGCACTCTCGCAGATTTCTGGGGCTTAAGAACACATTCTGCTTTCCAGCAACCCCAAGGACACTC